CGCAGCGACCGCCGCGCCAGGCCGCCGCGCCGCGCAGGCCTCCCGGCCCCGCGCCACCGCGGCCTAACCCGCCGTTCCCATTTAATCTGATTATTTTCCCTTTCCACCGCTAAGAACAACGTGGGGAGAAAGTTACTGCTGCGTCGTGGTCTGCTTATAATTATTTTCAAGGCTAAATCAATCCTAAATATGAGGCCAAGCCATTTTTTTTTCCATCTAATGGATGGGGATTTAGTAACGTTAAAGCCCAACTTCATGGCTAGTTAATCCCATTTCTAAATAGGCAGGGAAGGCCTCACCATGTACTTCATGGCTTTGGCCTAAAACACGTATTTTGGAGCCAGCACTACCTGCTTCTGTATTTTCAGCAACAAATCTAGGGGAGTTTCAGTGTCGTTTGTGAATTGGAAACTATTGGGATTTTGCTCACTGGAGAACATTGAGCAGGACTAAAATAAAATAAATGTAATTTGGAGGTTCAATAGTCTCATGTCTTCTCTATTGCTTGTTTAAAGGGAGGTTCAGAAATGGCCTAGTAAACAAATAGGGAGCAAACGGAGGAAACTTTTCCCCTACCTACCTTAGTGTTTGCCCTGTTTTTTAACACGGTTGAAAATAATATTGTAATTGGGTCTCTTAATTATTCCTTTGGGATCCCCTTATTTCTCATGATGTATCTTGTGATAGTAACTGTTATGTTACTTAAATGGTATAAAATGTATCCACTGCAAGTTCCTGTTCTCACCTTTTAAAATGGGAGAATTGATAAGAAATGCATCGTCAGCCACTTTGTAGTGTAGTTTCTCCCATTTTTGAAAAACAATAAAAAAAAACCCCAGTATCTTCAGGCAGTCTCTACCTTCTCCCACTCCTACTGCCCTGCTGTTTAGACTTATCTGTCTAAATCTCTCTTGTTTTTCCTACACTTGAAAAAAAATTCCCTGCTATGTTTTCATTTTCATTGTTGTAAGTGAGTGCATGCAGGAGATTCCTCTCCACTGTTTTTTGCTCGTTTTGTGTGGCCTGTCATCCTGGTTACGCGTGCGTGTGTGCTCAGCACAGGCTCCCTGGGAGCTG